GGCTGGGCCCCTCCTCAGTTAGTGCCTTCCGCCCGGGGAGCGGCCTTCGGGAGAGGGGGCGTCGCGACGCTCCCCGAGCTGGGGCGGCCCGTGGGCCGTCGGAGACCGAGGGGTTGGCAGGGGAAAGCGGGCTCTGCGCGGAGGGAAGAATGAGGGGACAGGGGCTCCGGACTCCCCGGCTCAGCCCGCGAGAGCGCGCCGGGGCTCCGGAGGGAGAGGGTGGCAGCTGGAGGAGGAGGGCCTGCCGGTCAGGACTGAGGAGCCTTTCCTCCCTCACCAGGACGAACCAGGATGAATATGACTCAAGCCCGGGTCCTGGTGGCTGCAGTGGTGGGGCTGGTGGTTGTGCTCCTCTACGCCTCCATCCACAAGATCGAGGAAGGACACCTGGCCGTGTACTACAGGTGAGCCGCGTGGCCCGTGCCGTCCGCCCGGCCCTGCAGCGGCGAGCCAGGGTCCTCGCGGCCGAGTGGTTCGCCCCGCAGCGTTCGGGGAGCACTGCTCGTCCGTCCTGGGAAGTGACTTTCGTCCCAGCGCCAGGAAAGCAGGAGAACCGAGGCAGTCTTCCGCAGAGCAGCCTCCAGGTGTTGGAAAGTTTTGTGCAAGGTTGGCTTTGTGCACAGGTTAAGGCTCCGTGCGGTTATTCCTAGTACACTGCAGACTTCGGCCGACTGTAGCAAAGTGCAGGAAGGAAGTTGGACACTACCTGTAGCTGAAGAAACGCACGCCATTCGCCATTTGTAGTCCATACAACTGCCAAGGCTTTTATTATCGTTTACTCCTATAGACGCCGTTCTGGAAATCTGAGCCTGTTTATGGGGGTTCCTTAGGTTCATTTCAAAAGCCCCAAGTGTCTGGTTATGTCCTATAAGACCAGGATGGCCATGACAGTTGTTATATCCCTGGGTCTTAGGGGACAGAAACTCAAGATTGATAGGCCGCAGGCCACCCGCCCTCTGTTCTCAAGGTGGGCGAGGAATGGTATGGAATGTATTCCTCTCTAGCTGAGCTCGCAGAGTCTTCCCTTCCACCTCATTACCACCAGTTTGTTTGGTGCAGATTGTAAGAGAAGCAAATCTGTGGAGAAATTGGGATAGTGGTGTACTCAGAAAAGAGCTTCAAGAACTTTTGGGTTGTTTCCATTATCCCCCCTCCCCCATATGTTATTTTTACTTTTAGATTTATCCTGACTCTTAGAAAAAGTACTTTTTTAGGGCCATCCACATGGTGGTTAAGGCGACTGGATCACACATGGCCAACTGAGTGGTTCAAGTCCCAGACCTGGAGGCTGTGTGCATGGGCACAGGTGCACGTGTGGCCAAAATCCCGAAAAAGAGGGACAAATGGAGGGAGAAGGGATTGTGGCATGACATGCCCCCTAAGGAGTGTTTTCTCACTTTCCCTTTCTGTCTTTCTCTCCTGCAAGTGCACATGCCCTCTGGCAAAATTGAAGAAGAAAAAGTAGTTTTAGCGTTATGTTTAGCAGATAGAACTGGAGGATAAGAAAGGACAGATGAGTTCAATTTTCCATCCAGATGAGTATTGACTTTCTGTTGGTAAAACCAAGGAAGAAACAGCTCACTGTATGGCTCTCGAAAGACTTAGTGATGAACTTTTCTTAGTTATTATGACTTCTTTGCAAACCTATTTATATTTTCAGGACAGGAAGTTCAGTTCTACGAATTTACTGTTCAGTTTGTAAAATAGGACTTCATTGTTACATTCGCTCCTCAAATGCCTCCCTTCATAATTTCCAGGGTGTCCTTTCATAGTTCTCACATTCCAGAATTTGGTGAACAAGTCCCTATCTTACCTACTTTTTTTTTTTTAAAAGAATTATTTTGTTTTAACTTTATTATTATTATAATTATTATTTTCCAGTTTGATCAGAGAAAGACAAAGAGAGAGAGAGAGGAAATGAGAAAGCAAGCCACCACGTCCAAGACTTGAACCATGGTTGGCCATGTGGGAGTCCCAACGCCTTCAACCACCATGCCACTTGCCGGCCCCCCTATCTTACCTACTTACAGTCTTAATCCTCTCACCCTTCATCTTTCCATGCTAAATTTTTGTTATTGTTTTTATGTGGAAACTTCATGGTCCCAGTATTGTAATTGCCTTGCAGATAGATCAAAAAGGTTCATAAAGCCTCACAGATTTTCTCCTTCCTTGAAAGTTGGTATTCTCTTTTTTTCCATCTGGTGATTAAATGTAATATGTTTTGATTTGGCTCTTGTTATGTACAATTAAACTGGGAGCCATTAGCATTTTTTTCCCCACAAGTATTTCTCAGAAGGTTAAAGACCAAGGAGAATCCTTTCAACCCAAGAGCGGTACTGGAGACTCAGAGCTATGGTTGGTGGAGCTTATGAAATAAGATGTAACATCAGTTTAATTTGATCTTTTCACCTTTTTAGGTGTGGTAGGTATTTTAAGTAACATTTGCTCATCATGAGTTACTCTTATTGGTGAGGCTCTAGTAGGTCAGTAGCATGAGACACAGTGAATGTTTAATATCGCATTTTAGAGTTGGAAAGAGAATTTCTCTCTTTTTAATTTTGACAAATTGAAACATCTTTTCGCAGGGGAGGAGCTTTACTAAGTAGCCCCAGTGGACCAGGCTATCATATCATGTTGCCTTTCATTACTACGTTCAGATCTGTGCAGGTGAGTGATTCCTAGGGAAGCCCCCATACCACGTATACAGGTGTGACAAGAGTTACTACACTCATGGGTGGAGATGGATTTCCTTATTGCTTAAGCAGATGGTGGTATTTGCTTAAATGCAGGAATTAAAGTTCAGAGTGCAGTTGTTACAACACAAGTTACAATTTTTTAACCACCTCACTCTCTTGAAGTGAATTAAAAGTATGAGCTGGGCAGCTTGGAAGGGCTGACTTCTACCATCTGTAGCTGGTTCTCTGTCATAATACAAGCGAGAGCGAGGAACATGACTTAGTTTGGAACAGTGTTTGGTTTCCATAGTGGCAGCTCCTGAGCCACTGTTCACGTGGAGGACCTGGATTTTCATACACAGCCTTTCTGTCTCACATTGTTTACCTGCTACATTAAGCACAATTCTACGTGGAACCTTAGTGAAGACTGTATGTTGACAATTATATATGTCATCCCACGATATTTGAAATTGGCGTCTAGTCATCGGGAAGAGTGTCTTGGCTATGGGAGATACATAATAAATGTCTTTTGACATAACAAGACCATGAAACAGGATTAGACTGTGACTGCTTTTGCAAGCTCAGTGCGGTAATAAATCTTTGGATTTGGTAGTTTGTCTACCATCTGCTGCTGGTTTTTCAGGACTCAGGAAAATTTGATGTTATTTCATCTTCCTGCAGAGTGAGAGTTTTAATTAGGAATACTTAAGTCCACCCCCCCCAGTTTCCTTTTAGCCCCTGTTAGATGGCTTAGGGAAAAACTTGTGTCTGTTGAAGTGAAGTGGGGTGGTCTTGACGGCTATGTTGTTTCCCCACGTTTACTTCATTCATTCTGGCCTGGGTTCACGCCGTCTCTTTTGACTCACCAGCTCTCTCCCACACCTGCTCTCCTTATTAAATCTTGCCAGCCCTTTTTAGGCTCATCTTAGATTCCTCCTTTTCGAATTTATAGCTCTTAAAATTTGTATTGTAAATTTTAGCTCTTGATCTTTTTTCCTCTCATAATGTTATCTTATATCAGGCTGTCAGAAAAATCATGACATGTTTTTCCTATGTTTTCCTGTGCAAAAATGTGCCATGACTCTTCTGACAGCCCGATATTATCCTCTAGGTTTTTATGTGTTTTCTTTTCAGAAGATCCTCAAGCTTCTCGAAGTCAGGGGTAACACGTTGTGTTTCCAACCTTTCTGTTTACTGCGGAAGTTGTTTCTTTGGACTGACTTCTCAGGAACATGCAGTGTCGTGAACATGAGGGCCTGGCTCTGCTACCAGTTGGTGCCGCCAGTTGGTTTGGAGAAATTGCTGAGCTGTTATAGATGTCACTTACTCCTTTGTGAAAGGACTTTTTGGGACCAGCAGTTAGCGTAATGGCTATGTTGCTGGACTCCTATGTAGTTGCGGTTCGAGTCCCAGACCTGGTGGCTTAAACTGACGATGGACGCGTGTGTGTGCGCGCCCAAGATCCCGAGAGGAGAACGGAGGAGAAGGGATTGCGGCGTGGCCATTCCCCCAGGGGGTGATTTCTTGCTTTCTGTCTCTCTTTTTCTCTCTGTCATTTTGGTGAGTGCACGCACCCTATAGCAAAAACCTCTCCAAAAAAAGAAAAAAAAAGGAGGACTTTTTAATTTCATGGCCTCACCAACAGCCCAGTCTACAGTGTTATCAGTAGCATTATCAGACCCTCAGAGATCAGTGGCTTTTTTTAGCCCTTGTTCAAAGCCTGGTCAATCTGTCTTCCTGAAGCTTTGCATGTTAAATCATATTGATGCAGAGATATATAAAGGAGATACAGATCATAACATTAAACATATTTTAGAGTTAAAGTGTATATGTAAAAAGCATGCAATATATACTTATATAGTATTATATACATAGTTTTGCAATTATATACATAGTAATAAGTTATACTTGTAAGAGATGCAAATGAAATTAGTAAAATGATCACAGTGTAAGCTAATATTCCTTACATCTGAAAATAAATTAAATATTGGAGCCAATATGACTAAATAGGAATCCTCTTTTGTATTCTAGTAACATTCTAGGGAAGAATTTTATTAGTAGAACCCACTTAAGAAAGTGTTCTTAAGATAATAAAGTATGGGGAACCAGCAGTTAGCGTAATGGCTATGTCGCTGGACTCCCACGTAGTCAACCACGGTTCGTGTCCCGGACCCGGTGGCTTAAAACTCACGCCGGGCGCGTGTGCGTGCATGCCCAAGATCCCGAGAGGAGAATGGAGGAGAAGGGATTGCGGTGTGACCATCCCCCCTGGGGGTGATTTCTCGCTTTCTGTCTCTCTGTCTCTTTCTGTCTGTCTGGCGAGCGCACGCGCCCTACAGTGAAAATCTCTCAAAAAAAAAAAAAAAAAAGATAATAAAGTATAAAGAAATTCATTTTTAGAAATTTTTATAACACATTAGAAGAGATAGACTATATAAGTGAATGAGTCAACAAACTTGACAATTGAGAAGAATGCACATGAAGCAGTTCAGGAAATGTGAAATCCATACATTATGTAAGAAGGGAAAACAATATTTAGAGAAATTAAATGAAAACTTCCATACTTTAACAAATACATAAAGTAACCAAGAGTTGTTTTTAAAATAAATATCCTTCCACACTAGGAAAATGTTAGGTCACTAGAAAAGTCATGATATGTTTTTCTTCTTCTTTTTTTTTTTTCCCCAGAATTGTTTAATTTTATATATACATATATATAATTTTTTTTTTTTTAATTTGACCAGAGAGAGACAGGGAGAAAAAGTGAGAAAGCAAGCCACTAGGTCCAGGACTCGAACGGCCATCAGCTATGTGCGAGTTCAGTGCTTTAACCATCTTGCCATCTGCTGGCCCCATGATGTATTGTTCTATGCAAAAGTGCGTCATGACTTTTTTCACTTGATAGTTAGGAGAATATAAAAGAAGTATAAAAGTACATAAAGATAAGATGTTAAATTAGGTATTTGTCATTTGAACCTTTTCCTAGTTCTCTTCTGTTTGAAAATTGGCCGGAGAATATACTTTAGGTTTAAAGGGGAATGTGTAATTTGTTTAAAGGTGGTGTGAAATGTGGCGATTGACTTACTTTCACATTTTGAAGGAAATAAAATGATCTGAATTCATCTCTTTATCAACCTCCTTTGCTTTACGTAGGACTGTCACTAATGTGTACCATCACCCTGATCTCTCAACCTAACAATTACCTTTTATTTTCTTCCCTCCTGGAATTTTATACTCAATCAAGTATCAGATCTTTCCTCTACTATGTCTCCTGGATCGACATCTTCCAGGTCATGGGCTTTACTAAATTGATCTAAATAAATGAAATGTTTTAGCTTTCCAGCTGGTTTTCTTGCCTCCAGATAAAATGAATGAGAACCACATCACATGTGAGCAGGGGAATTAAGTGAAAAACTTATTTTCGAGCGGTTCCTTTTGTAACTATATGTAAGGTGAGCCCAGCATTCAGGATCCTCTGCCTCAGATGTCTTTCAGAATTTCACTTCCCATCACTTGCCCCTTCACCCCAGGCAAGCTAATCTAGTTCCCGACACCTCTATCTACAGTTTGCCTTCAGCTTGGTATTGAAGTAGAATGTTTATTGAATTGAAGATATTCCTCTGCCTTGTCTGTTCATTTCTCCCCCTCTAGATCAGGCTTATATAAACTTCACTTCAGAGAACTTTCCAAACTTACTTTACTCTGTAACTTAACACCTAGCTGTTCAGTTTATGCTGCTACTTTACACCTGTTGATGAGTTGCCTTATAGGGATTTTATCTCGTCCTGGGCTGTGAGCTCTTTGGAAACAGAGACCGTGCTTTCTTTCTCTTTTGCATTTCCCCCCAAAGTAGTGTGTTGCCTTGGGCTGGAGGGAGCAGTGTGCCCAGAATACACACATTAGTTGCTGACCTATTCGAGGCCTTGGAGTGCAGTAAGGACAGAGGCGTGACATGAGCAAAGCAATGAAGTCCCAGGTTGTTGGCCTTCGAGGGAAGCAAGACTGCAGGCGGCATTTCTATGTGAGAAGGTGTGAGAGATCCCCAGGCCCTAGAATATTGACTGTGGCTTTAGACGGGAAGGGTTGCTGTGGACTTCAAGGGCAGCTTTAGCCTTGTAATGCATGTGCTGGTTATCTTTCATCTCTGTTGTAAACAGTAACACTAGCAGTGGAGTCAAAGTTCAGAGCACAGATCACAGTCCTGGGGTGGTTGTGGGTAGGCTGGGTAGTTTGCAATCACAGGCCGACTCCAGACCAATAAGGGACTCTGGAAGAGGTTTTTCCTGGTTAGCAGATCCAGCACTGAGCGGTCCTCAGTGTTCTATAGCTATGAAAGTTGGCTGTCTCAAGTCTTTCATTTCTACTGCAGTACAGAGAAACAAATGCTGTCATAGCTGCTCTCTGAAATTGTAACAGTGCTCTTCTGCACTTCACTCACCGCAGCCATCCAGAGCTTTGCCTCTGGGACCAGTACTTTTTGGACGATATGTGTCCTGAGTATTGATGAGATACTTTTTCCTCCCCAGACAACACTACAAACCGATGAAGTTAAAAATGTGCCTTGTGGAACAAGGTAAGTGTTCTCCTTGCTCACCAACCTCCCTTTGCTTCAGGTGTAGTCGCCAACATTCTTGAAGCCGAGATCACTGAAATGTCTCGCAAGTCACCATGATAGTAACCCAGGAGGATTTCTGTTCTGAACATGCTTTGAGCAAAGACCTACCTCCAAGTAGGAGCTTCCCGTCTTAGAAGCCATTAAGGTGTTGAAAAAAGTGAAGCTTTATAGACGCAGCAGACCCAACTTTGTATGTTAGCACTGCTGCATCTTCTTTGTTGGCTGCTTTTTAACAGACTTTAGTTTTTAGAGCAGTTTTAGGTTCATGGCCGAATTGACCAGAAAATCAGAGATTTTTTACATTCCCCTCCTTTTCCATGTGCTTTCTTCACTTCCGTAAGTTTAGTTTTCTCATTTGTAAAAGCTGAGTAGTAAGAGCTACCTTGCAGTTATTCTGAGGATTAGAATTAATGTGTGTGGGGGGTGGGGGGCAGCAGGTAGTGTGATAATTGAGGTGCTGGACTCCCACATGGCCAGCTGTGATTCAAGTCTCAGACCTGGTGCCCTGAAACTCATGCCAGGCACTTGTGCATCCATGCCCGAAATACCAGGAGGAGAAGAGATTACATTGTGGCCACACACACACCACCCCCCACCCCCGGGAGTGGATTCTCACTTTCTGTCTCTCTCTCTCTCTCTGTTTCTCTCTGGCGAGCATGCACACCCTATGGTATAAAAAAAAAAAAAAGAAAGAAAGAAAGAATTAGTATATATGAAGTGTACTTGGCCCAGAGTAGACACACATTGAAAGATAGTTGAAAATGGAATCACCCCACCTTCTTCCCATCTGTAGTATTAAATGCCATCTAATTTAGAGTTTCTGCTTCAGGAGGTCTGGAGTGAGGCCCAAGAATTTGCATTTCTAACAAAAGTTCTCGAGCGATGCTTGATGCTGCTGGTCTAAAGACTCACTTTGAGAATTACTGCCCTAAAAAGTGTTAGGGAAAAATAGGCAAGCAAGGCCCAAATGATTTCTAGAGTATAATTAGAACTTTGAATTATATCTAATGAAAAATGAGAAATTCAAGGTATTTTTAAAATGACCTATTTTAAATGACCTAAAATATTATTATTTTGTTTGTTTTAGAGAAGTTTTTGCTGTAGGGCGCATGCGCTTGCCAGAAAGACACAGAGAGAGACAGAAAGCGAGAAATCACCCCCTAGGGGGCATGTCCACGCCACAGTCCTCTCTCCTCCATTCTCCTCAGGATCTTGAGCACACACGCACACATGCCCGGCATGAGTTTAAGCCATGGGGTCCGGGTCTCAGACTGCGGTCAACTACATGAGAGCCCAGCAACATAGCCATTACGCCCTCTGCTTGTCCCAACCTAAAATATTATTACAAGCCTACAAAAGAACCTTAGACCTATAGAGGGAAGAAATGCTTGGGGAAAAAAAAGGACTAAGTTCTGTTTTAAGTTCATACAGTGGATTATCAAGTTCTCCCTAGGTCGATCTGTACTCTCTTTTGTGGGTTCCCTTTTGGCTCACGCTCTTTCCATTCCTTTGTTTTTAGTGGTGGGGTCATGATCTACATCGACCGAATAGAAGTGGTTAACATGTTGGCTCCCTATGCAGGTATGTTACCCATCATTCTCTTTGGTTTTATGGCTAGGGCCAGAGTTTTTGTAACTGAGAAATCCCCTAAAGCTTAGCAAGGCACTGTTCAACCTTTATTGCTTCATTGATGACTGATAAATATTTAAAAAAAAAAAATCACTGGAACATTTGCCATTCTAGGGCATGGAGGCAGAGCCAGGTCACAAGAGCTCTCTTTCAGACAGTTGACTTGCTGCCACCGTGTGAGTAATTCTTTGAGCTTAGTATTTCTAGGAGCAAGACAATCATCGATTATTTCTAGAATAGGCAAGTCACATTTTATTCAGTCAGACAGAATTTCCTTATGTAATAAAAACCTATAACTGATTTATTCCTTGGGCCATGTTGATTTATCTCCAAAGTCTTTCCTGGCTTAGAAATGCTATGACTTCCAGAGTAAGCTGGAAGTCCTCAGTGTGTGGCCACACTTTCTTGGTAGGTGATGAAACCCCCAGAGAGGGAGTGGAGTGGATACTGTTGGAATCAAAACTTAATTAGAAGCTCTGAAGAAATACCCTTGTTCATAAAGCTAGCATATGCCTCGTATGGACAGAAACTTGTGTTTGACAAGTACAGTTTGAAGAGGTGAAATTACAGCCTTTGCCTTGTAGCAGTTTTTATTTTACTTGGGAAGACATGATATAGACCTTAATATATATACATGTATACTATGTATATATGTTATACACATGCTATAAATTAATAAACCTTATGCTATTTGAGCATTTCTTCTAAATTAATAGAACAATTATCTGAACTGACCTAGTAGCCTACTGGTGTGTGTGTGTGTGTGTGTGTGTGTGTGTGTATACACATATGTATGTATATATATAGACATGAGAGGTCATGCCATTGGTACAGCATAAATAGTGACAAAATTTCATAGAGTGCAGGTGTAATTCTCTTGGGATTTAGATCGTATTTTTCAGGGATTAAGGATTTTTCTTATCTTTTTCTCATCTACTTTCTTTGGTTACAAGTCATTGGAATGTGTTATGACTGAAAACAGAGGAAGGAGATTGATGGTTCTGTTTCCAAAGATAAATAGGAAACTGTTAGATTGCCGATTCATTTGGAAAATGACCAAGCCAGTGATTTTTGTCAGCAAGTGTCTATTGATCACCTGGCCATCATTTGTGACCTGGAATCTATTAGGTTGTCAGGAAAGTCATGATGCATTTTGCAATGTTTGTCTATTCAAAAATATGTCATGACTTTCCCAACAACCCCATAATTGCATCTAACGTCCTGCATGGGAAGGCCAGTAGGACGAGTCTGGGGGTCTGAAGGCAGTGCGTCTTAGTAGGTAGAGCACAGGAAGGTCTGATATATACTCCTTGGGATTTTCCGAAACTCTGATGGTTAGTTTCCTAATATGCAATATGTGGAAGTTTTCTTTTTGAGGGGTTACGTGTTAATACATGTAAATTGTCTGCTACAGAGCCTAGTCCAGTAAATGGTTAACTCCTTTTCCTTTGTAGCCTGGTATCTTTTCAGCAGCCTTTAAAGGCTGCCTTTTTATTTATTTATTTATTTATTTTTGAGAGTTTTTTTTTTGCTAGAGGGCGTGTGCGCTCACCAGACAGGCAGAGACAGAAAGCGAGAAATCGTCCCCCAGGGAGGATGGCCACGCCGCAATCCCTTCTCCTCCATTCTCTTCTCGGGATCTTGGGCATGCACGCACATGCGCCCAGCGTGAGTTTTAAGCCACCGGATCCGGGACGCAAACCGCAGTCAACTACGTGGGAGTCCAGCGACATAGCCATTATGCTAACTGCTGGTCCCTAAAGGCTGCCTTTTAAAAATGGCCATTTGCAGCTGCTTCCTTCTTGTAGCCCAAGGCTCCTCAGTCAGTCAGGCCCTTTCCCTCTCAGCCAGGCTTCTCCTTGGCAGCAGCTGCCTTCCACGTGCCCTCCCGCTGGGCGCTGTGGCGCTTGGTTCTTCCTCACCCTGCTGCCAGTGTTCAGGCCTGACGATGCCGTGCCCTTGACATGCCCCTTACATGACACTTTGACAGTTCTTTATTACTTCCAGGGCAACCTATACTCTCCTTAATGTGGACTTTGAAATTGCCCATTAGTATTGCAGATACAAGCGTATCTGGAAAACTGACATCCTTGGCAAAGCTGATAATCCTGGGAGACAGAGGAGCACATCAGTGTTTGTCAGCTGTGCTCTGTGTTTTCTCTGTCTCATTGCTGCTTTCCACTGTGTATAAGGCAGAATGTGAAGATACACCTGGGTCATTGTTGGATAAAAACAAACATGAGTTATGCTTCTCCTTCAGTGTTCGATATTGTAAGGAACTACACTGCAGATTATGACAAGACCTTAATCTTCAATAAAATTCACCATGAGCTGAACCAGTTCTGCAGCGCCCACACGCTTCAAGAAGTTTATATTGAGTTGTTTGGTAAGCATTTTGTTTTTTTGTCTTATATATGTAAATAACCAATTAGAAGCCTTATTCAACTCATTTATTGATGCCATAAATTAATAAACCTTATGGTATCTGAGCATTTCTTTTTTTTTTTTTTCTTCATTTTTTAATTTATTTTAATTTGACTAGAGAGGGACAGAGAGGGAGGAGAGAGAGAGAAACCAAGCCACCAGGTTCAGGACTTGAACTGTGGTTGGCCATGTGAGAGTCCAGTGCCCTTAACCAACCCGCCATCTGCCGACCCCTTGAGGATTTCTTATGAATTAATAATGGAACAGTTACCTGGGCTGACCTCATATCCTACTGGTTAAGGTAGCCAGATCCCATATGCAGTTTGAATCCCAGCCTCAGGGACTTGAAAAATATGCTTAGCGTGTGTGTATGCATCCCACAGCTTTCTGTAGGATGGAGCAGTGAAGGAGGAGTCACGGCATGATCATGCCTCATGGAGGGGAGTGCTTTTCCCTCTCCTCTCTGTCTCTGTGTGTCGTTGCAAGCACACATGCCCTCTGGCAGTAAGAAAAATAATAGAGTGGCATGGAGGTTAAGGCACTGGCTCCCACATGGCCTACTGTGTGATTTAAGGCCCGGACCCAGTGGTTTGAAAATAACGTGGGCGCATGTGCATGCACATCCAAAATTGCAAGAGGAGATGGGAGAAGGGATTGCGGCATGGCCATACCCCTTGGGAGGTGGTTTCTCACTTTTTCTCTCTGTCTGTCTTTCTGGCAAGCACATACGCCCTATAGGAAAACCTTAATAATAGAGCAGTCAGCTTTAAAATATTTTTTTTAATCTTAAAATTTCTTATGTAACTTGGTAGAGATGGAAAAACTTTACTTTCTCACAGACTGACTGTATTCTGTTTCTACTTGATAATTATTTGATAATTAGCTTTTTTTAAAGAGAGATTTTTACTATAGGGTACATATGCTCACCAGAGATACAGAGAGAGACAGAAAGACAGAAGGCAAGAAATCAACCTTCAAGGGGGATGACCATACCACAAGACCTTCTCCTCTATTTTCCTCTCGAGATTTTTGGGCACACATGCACATGTACTTGGCATGAGTTTCAATCTACCAGGTCCAGAACCCAAACCATGGTTGGCCACTTGGGAGTCCAGCTCCTTAACCACTACGCCACCTGTTGGCCCCATGACAATGAGCTGTATTGTTATTTTAATAGATAATTTGAGGAACTTTAGAAGCCTGTTTCTTGGGGCACCTCCTATGTTCTGTGGTTTGATAGAAGGGCTGACAGTACTCAGCACGTAGTTGCTCCATAGCTAAGGTGCTTACAGCCCAAGGATACACGCAAAACCAGCAAAGGGACGAGGCAAGGGATAGGGGCCAGTTCAGAAGAAGTCAGGCCCGGGCTCCCAGGAGTCCTCCCAGTGGAGTCCTGCACGGTGTGCTCAATCTCCCCAGCAGCAGGTTGTGTCAGCACATGGGAGATGTCGTCTCCCAGGGAGGCGCATCAGAGGCTTGGTGCCTGAGTCTCTTTTGGGGAGCCAATCCTGTCGACACCCTTCACTGAGTGTGTACCAAAGTCTCAGACTGCCAGGGGAAAGCAGGTGTCTGGCATAAACCAGCTTGTATAACAGTTTAGGCACATTGAGCCAGGAGTACCAGTTCTGGGGACCTCCCCAAATCCCAAGTTGCCAGGACCAACCAAGGCCAATTTGCAAATGCCTTTCCCAAGGACCACTGTCTCAGGCCTGCTGCATGAATTCTCTTTTGCACAAGTTACTTTACATTTGTGATAGTGAAAGCTCTGGTCAGCGAGTGGGTTGTTGCTATGATTGGTTGTACACTTCTCCCTCCTGGAGTTTTTATTCAGTTTCTTCGAGGGAGACACAGAAATATTTAATTAACTTCAAAATCTACCAGTTGGTTCCTCTTTGATGATTGACAACCATTACAATGGCATATGAGGAAATTGGTTGGTTCTTTTTTTAAAAAATTTATTTATTCATTCATTTATTTTAATTTGACCAGAGAGAGACACTGAGAGAGAGGGAAAGTGAGAAAGCAAGCCACCAGGTCCAGGACTCAAACCATGGTTGGCCATGTGGGTGTGTCCAGCACTTTAACCACCATGCCACCTGCTGGTTCCCATGGAAATTGATTGGTTCTGATTTGTCATGTCAGCAGTCATTTTAACACTGATGAAAGTACCATTGAGGTAGGAAATTCACAAATTATAAAGCCAAGTGAAGTGACTGCATCTTTAGTGGCCACTGTGTGTGCGTCCCACGTTTCTAGAGCTTTTTCTCTTTCTCTTTTAAAAAAATCTAAAATTGGGACCAGCGGTTGATGTAATGACAGTGTTATTGGATTCCCATGTAGTTGACCACGGTTCAAGTCCCAGACCCAGTGGCTTAAACTCACCACGGGCGCGTGTATGTGTGTGTAGGCCCAAGAGCCTGAGAGGAGAATGGAGGAGAAGGGTTTGCAGTGTGGCCATCCCCCCCAGGGGTGATTTCTCACTTTCTGTCTCTGTCTCTTTCTGTTGAGTGCATGAGCCCTATAGCAAAAACCTCCCCGAAAAATAAAAATCTAAAATAATAATAGGGTTAAGGTTTTTTAGATAGAATTACTTTTTTTTTTTTTTTTTTTTTTTAGGATTTATTTAGTTAGAGGCCAGCGGATGGCATGGTGGTTAAGGGTGCTGGATTCCCACATGGCTGACCATGGTTTGAGTCCTGGACCTAGCAGCTTGCTTTCTTAATTTGACCAGAAGGAGACAGAGAAAGAGAGAAAATGAGAAAACAAGTTGCCATAGCCAGGACTTGTGGGAATACAGCACCATCACCACCACGCCACCAGCTGGTCCCAGGAATTTAGGTACTTTCAGAATTCAATAAAGATCGGTTTAAGATAGAAATTTGCATTTTTGCAAGAATCAGGACACTCTTATCTTTTGTTTTTAGGTTTTTGTCATAGGGTGCATGTGCTCACCAGAGAAAGGGAAAGTGAGAGATCACCCTCAGAGGGGACTGCCACGGCACAATCCCTTTTTCTCTATTCTCTTGTCAGGATTTGGGGCATGCACACTCATGTGTCTAGTGTGATTTTCAAGTCACCAGATAAAGGATATGGTGCTGGGACCAGCAGATAGCAATGGCTACATTGCTAGACTCGCGCACATAGTCGACTGCGGTTCAACTCCCAGACCCAGCGACTTAAAACTCACTCCTGGCGTGCGTGTGAATGTGCCCAAGATCCCAAGAGAGAATCAATAGAGGAGAAGGGATTGTAGCATGGCCATCCCCCCAGGGGATGGATGATGTCTTGCTTTCTGTCTCTCTGGCAAGTGCGTGTGCCCTATAACAAAAATCTCTCTCAAAAAAACCGAAAACACCATGCCACGTGCTGGGCCCAAAAATCCGGACACATTTTAAGGGTACTGAACTGGGTCGGCAGGTGGTGTGCTGGTTCAAGGTGCTGGATTCCCACATGGCCAACCATGGTTTGAGTCCCAGACCTCATGGCTTGCTTTCTCACTTTCCCCCTCACTCTCTGTCTCTCTTTGGTCAAATTAAAAGAAATAATAATAGCAAGTGGAATTAAATAAATAAATAATTTTAAAAAAGGGCACTGAATTAAGGTACTAGAGATCCATATTCTCTATTTATTGGTTAAGCTTATTTTATCCAGTAATTAAGTTTATCCCATAAATAACTCTTAGTAAGTTACCAGATAGATAACGTACCTGAAGTTAAGCTACATAGTAAGTTTATTGGATAAAGTTAGACTAGCTGCTTGTCATTGTCTCGAATTTCTTTATTAGATCATTTCTCATACTTTCTGCTACACAAAGAAGAGTATGTGTGATGAAATATATGTGTCACTCTTAGCTCTATAGGAAAATAATTCCTTGGAAACTTGAGGCCTAGTGATGATTGATTTTGTTTCAATATTAATAGTGTTAAAACATTGATCATTATGAGATTTGTTGTTCTTGGCTTCAAAAACAGATCAAATCGATGAAAACCTGAAGCTAGCCCTACAGAAGGATTTGAACGTCATGGCCCCAGGTCTCACCATCCAGGTAAGCTGTTCTCCTAGGAAAGTTCTCTGAGAATTTTGAGAGCTTTGAGTTTAATCCTCTTTACCCAGATCGTTTATTCAGCAGTTATCTATTGGGTCAGTGGCCCGTTTTTGCTTAGAAAAACATAGCAAAATTACCTCATGACTTTTCCGACAACCCAGGAATTACAGTGCTATGGTAGTTTATGGAACATTTCTTGGTTTTACTTTAGGTATCTACAAAAGTAAAATATCTTTGTAGCTTCCCATGGGTGCCATTTTCTTCCCATGGGTGCCATTTTCTTGTGGACACTATACATTTTGGCAACGCTAAATTATTTATTTTTAAAGTTTTTACTTATTTCTTTCAGTAGAGAGAAGCTAGGGCCAGCAGATGTCCTAAGGGTTAAGGCAGCTGGGTTCTACTTGGCTTACTGTGATTCGAGACTGAGAGCTAATGACTTTAAAAAACCTGCTAGGCGCATGTGCATGCATGCCTAAAATCCAGAGAGGAGAGTGGAGGAGAAGGGATTGTGGTGTGGCCATCCCCCGGGGACGATTTATCACTTTTCCTCTCTGTCTGTCTCTTTCTCTGATGAGCGTATGTGCCCTGTAGCAAAAATAAATAAATAAATAAATAAAATAAAGAGGAAGAGAGAGGGAAGTCTACCTGGTGGTAGTTTCACACTGATTCACCTTCAGCATCAGCCAGCCTGGGGACATGAACCCAGAACCTTCCCATGTAGGTCCAGTTGCATTACTACGGTGTCACCACCCACTTGCTACACTTAGTTTATTTAAAAAGTCTTCTTTCTTCAAGAGTAAATTAATCTTAACTTACTGTAACTTTTTTTATTCCCTATCAACTTATTTTCTCAACATCTTGACACTCTTTTATTACACTTGGCTTAAACACAAACACACTGCACAACTATACAAAAATACTATCTTTCTTTCTACTCTTATTTAATAGTTTTTTTTTTTTTCTTTTTTTCTTCTTCCATTTTAAAATTTTCGGTAGGGCACATGCATTCACCAGAGAGAGGTGGGGGAGAAGTGATGGCATGTGCCCTCACTTGGAGGGATGGCCATACTGTAACCCTCTCTCCTCTGTTCTCCTTTAGGGGTTTTGGGCATGCATGCTTACAGGCCCAAGTATGTTTCCCAGCTAGACAGCATGTGTGATTTAGCCACCGTAACCACTGTGCCACCGGCAGGCCCTTTTTTTTTTTTTTAAGTAAACTTGAAGTAGTTTTTTTAACTTGCTAGAGGATGCATGCACTCACTGGAGAGAGACAGAGAAAGAGGAAAGGTGAGGAAGCACCCTGGGGGTGGCCATTCACAGCGTCCTTTCTCCTCCACTTGGACCACAGAGTCACCCACAGATCAGCCACGTTAACCACCGTGCCACCAGCCGGCCCTTTTTCAAAAAATTTGCCAGAGTGTGTGTGTACTTGCCAGCATGAGAGAGAAAGAGAAAGCACCCCCATGGGCATAGTTACACCTCATCTTCTCCATTTCTCCATCCTGTTGTAACTTTGTGCATCCACGCACATGCACCTGGCATGTGCTAGCCAGAGTGACAGAGAGATAAGAAGCAAGAAATCATCCCTAGGGGAATGGCCAGGCTGCAATCCCTTCTCTTCTTTTCTCTTCTTGGGATTTTGGGCATGCATGCACAAGCGCATGGTGTGTTTTAAGCTGTTGGGTCTAGGACTCAAACCATGGTCGACTACGTGGGAGTCCAGCAATATAACCATTATGTCATCTGCTGGTCCCACACCTGTCATGTTTTAAAAGCTTCTGGATCTGGGACTCAGACCTTATTATGATCAGCCATGTAGGAACCAGCTTCCCCAGCCATCAGACCCTGGGCTAGCCCTATGAGCCTTTTTCTGTTAATTTTTTTTTTGTTCTTTTTACACCTTTTTGTTAAAAACAAAGACACAAACATACATTAGCCCAGGCAAGTCAATATCACTGTCTTCCACCCCCACATCTTGTCCCACTGGAAGGGCAATGTTTTTTTGTTTGTTTGTTTGTTTTGTTATAGGGCGCGTGCCCTTGCCAGACAGACAGACAGCAAGAAATCACCCCCCAGGGGGGATGGCCACACCGCACTCCCTTCTCCATTCTATTCTCGCGCTCTTGGGCGGGCACACATGCACATGCGCTCAGCATGAGTTTTAAGCCGCCAGGTCCGGGACACGAACCGTGGTCAACTACATGGGAGTCCAGTGACATACTCATTACATTAACTGCTATTCCCTGAAAGGGCCATGTTGACCAAACAAGATGTAATTAAAGCAAGCGCAAGAGGGAAATATTGGTCAAGGGGAGAAGTGAGCACAGGGTCTGTGAGGGGCTGCCAGTGTCGACTGCATGCCATCTCGCACTGAGCTTTGTTAGTAAGTGGAAGGGGTACACTCTAAACCATATTAGGAAGCATGGTGCAGTAAATACGTAACCAGGAGCAGTCGTTTGTCATCACGGTCAGGTATTGTGTCCTGTTCACAGTTGGATGTGCCACACTTTCGTACGACTGTCAGCACAGTAGGTTTGTGTACACTAGCACCACCATAAACACACAAGCAATGCGTCATGCAAGGATGTCACTTTTCAGCTCTGTGATAGGCTTTTGGAACCATCCACACATGTGTGGTCCATTGCTAAGCGAATCGTCATCGTGCAGTGTGGGCAGACTTGTTTCCCCGTGGCCTCGCCAGCAGTGGTGCAGCTCCTTCTCCGTTTCTCCATCCACTGGGATTTGGGCACACGTACTCTCCTGGAGCATTCCTCAGTCCGCTAGGGCTGGAATTTGACTACATGTGTGGGCATGTCAGATCCAGCTGCCTTGACTTGGGCCATGGGGGCCTGCCCGTTTTTCTGTTGGCTTATTTTCCTTACTGATAAGTACCAGATCTGTATACATTTTGGATATTTTTATACACACACTCATGTTATATATGTTGTAGAAAAAGTTAGGTTTTAGGAAAAGATGAGGAGCAAAGTGAGACTTACCACCCAGTCATCTTACCAGCAGAAAACAGTGTGTGTTGTGTCTCTTTAGGCTCTCACTATATAGGAGTAAATGTTTATGTTTCTACATATTAATAAATGCATGTTAGGTAACATGGAACCATACCATACTTTTTAGCTGTGTATATGAACATCTTTCCAAGTTAAAAATAAAGATTTTTTGCCACATTATCACTTTTAATAGTTGTATTTAGTGAACTCTGTGATTTCAGTTTTCTTTACTACTTAATACTTATGTTTCAGTGTCTAAGCTTATCTATATGTCTTTTAAAATCCTTTCCTTAGTGTGTGTGTATATACATTTTTTTTTAAGAGATTTTTGCTATAGAATGCGTGTGCTCACTGGAGTGACAGAGAGGCAGCAAGAAATCACCCCCCCCCCAGAGGAAAAGGCCACACTGCAATCCCTTTTCTTTCATTCTCCTCTCAGGATCTTAGGCACACACACACATGCACCCGGTGTGAGTTTTAAACTGCCAGGTCCAGGATTTGAACCACAGTCGACTATGTGAGAGTCTGTTGTTGTAACCATTATACCATCTACTGATCCCAGTATGAATTTTTAAAAATGGGATTGATGAGGGCCAGCAGATGTAGCAGTTAGGTCGCTAAACTCCCGCATGACCTACCATGCACAGTTCAAGTCCTGGACCCGGTGGCTTAAGACTCTCGCCAGACACATGTGTATGTATGCCCAGGATCACCAGAGGAGAATGGAGGAGAAGAGATTGTGGCATGGCCATCCCCCTTGGTGGGTGATTTCTCACTTTGCCTTTCACTGTCTGTCTTTCCCTCTCCAGCAAGTGCACCCGCCCTAAGGAAAAAACCTCTACCAAAAAAAGGGAGGGGATTGATGAGTCGGAGAACATGCCCTATTTAGGGGCTTTATTGTTATTATTATTTCAATTTATTTATTTGAGGGGCTTTTTGATACATACTGCCAAATCACCTTTCAGAAAACTGTTAGCAGCTCACGCTGTCACCTGCATTGTTGGTGAGCTCTAGTTCCTACATAGTTGATTGTGTGATTGAACTCAAATAATTGGCAGTTACAAGCTCTCTTTCTCTCTTAATCCCTTGGAGAAAATTAATCTGGTATTTGTATTACTTGTCAAGGTTCGATGCCCTACAGCATTTCTTGGCCATTTGTATTTCATTTGTGAATCGTTTATGCTCACTTTGTTGTTGTTTATGTGTTTCTAATTGATTTAAGTAAGCTATTTTATTTTTTTTTTGAGAAGTTTTTGCTATAGGGCGTGTGCACTTGCCCGAAAGACAGAGAGAGAGAGACAAAAAGCAAGAAATCACCCCCCCAGGGAGGATGGCCATGCCACAATCCCTTCTCCTCCATTCTCCTCTCAGGATCTTGGGCACGCACTGCACATGCACCCAGCATGAATTTAAGCTACGGGGTCTGGGACTTGAACCTGTGGTCGACTACATGGGAGTCCAGCAACATAGCCATTATGCCATCTACTGGTCCCAAAAACCTCCAATAATTATCAGGTAAAAATAGCTTATTTAAGGGACCAGCAGTTGGCGTGCATAATGGCTATGTCGCTGAACTCCCATGTAGTTGACTGCAGTTTGAGTCCCGGACCCAGTGACTTAAACTCAATGTCTAAAGCCGGGCGCGTGTGCGTGCGTGCCCAAGATCCTGAGAGGAGAACGGAAGAGAAGGGATTACAGCGTGGCCATCCCCCCTGGGGGGTGAGTTCTCGCTTTCTGTCTCTCTGTCTCTGTCTGTCTTTCTGGTGAGCGCACATGCCCTATAGCAAAATCCTCTCCAAAATAAATACTCATTGATTATTTTTTAAAAAAAAATGATTGGAGGTTTTTAAATGTAATTCCTCATTTTTTTCCTTTGCCGTGTAACTTTGTGTTTTTATTTTTCCTGGCGGTTTTGAAGTTTTGAACTTCTACGCAGTCTGTTCAGTGCTCTTTTCTTTATGATGTGTTGCTGGGCTGACATGCTGTAAGAGCCTCTCACTATTTTAAAAGTACGGAAATTTAAATAAAATCAGAAATGACAACATTTTTCTCTACTTTGACAATTGTATTCTTAGAATTAACTCTTTAGTTCATCTGGAATCCGTTTTGATGTCAGTTGTGAGGCAGGGCTCCAGCTCATTCCCTCCTTCCCCCATAGGGTAGCTATAGTAATTATTGAATAATTTATCCCTCCTCTCCCCACTTTGAAGCGATGTTTGTGTTGTGCTCTAAATTCTGTTGTATACTAGAGTCTTTCTGAGCATCGTTCTGTCCCATTGATCTTTCTGTTCTTCATCTTTTAAGTTACTGAGTCCTTGTTTTTTCCTCATCAGATCTGCTTCTCTTGTTTTTCCCTTGTGAGTTAACGGCAGCTCCTTCTCAGACCTATCTTGTAGTGTGGAAGGCACCTTTAATTTTCTATGTTTTTCTGTGCAAAAAAGCCTCATGACCACCCAGTATTGTAGTTAGGATGGAAACTACCTACAGAGTTGACCATTCTCTTATATATAAGGAATGCTATGTTGCTTAAAAGCTTTGTCACTGAAAAATTTAGCCAGTTTTCAGAGGGAAATTCGAACTTGCTGCAGACCACCAGTGTTGTGTGTGTGTGTGTGTGTGTGCAGTGTGGGGTGTTTAAATAACATTAATAAAATCAGAAGCTTCTGAGAGAGCAAGTCCTTGGTGTAGAAAAGTCAGCCTCCTGATAATAGCACTTTCTCAGTAGATAGATTAATTACAGCAGAGTGCACTACAATTCGGAAACGAAGTATGCAGTGAATAATGTCCTCAAAGACCAGGTAGGCTTCGTTCCAGGCTTCTGGGAAGGAGGAATGTAAACGGCTAATGGGTCTTGCCTTCCTCCAGCCAGTGACTGTTTATTTCCTGCCAGTGCTGAGTGCTCTCAGGCTCAGGAAGTGATAAACTGGCCTGCTTCTGTACATGCTATACAATTGCATATACTTATACTGCCCTGGGAATTTGGTGCTTGTTTCCGACTTGATTTCGAATGTTAGGATTTTGTCTTTGTTTGGCTTCTTTGGCTTGCAAGTTTAAAAAAGAAAGCAAGGCATCCAGCCAAAAATCTTCTTAAGATATCGTCTAAGGAAGAGCCTTTTTCCAGGAGAGTTTATTTTCTCTGTGGGTAGAGTGTTTTTTCATGTGGTCAGGCATTTTTCTAAGGAAAGAAGCAATAGTTCATCTTTGACTTTCAGGGTGATGGCGTGAAAACTAAATTTTTGAGTGGAATCCTAAAACATGTTAGTAAACATGTTTTAATTTTGTATTAGTATCATTTGAGGAGATTTAGTTTGAAGATTTATTTTTAAATATACATTGGCTTTTCACTTTTATTTTTTAGGCTGTACGTGTTACAAAACCTAAAATCCCAGAAGCCATAAGAAGAAATTTTGAGTTAATGTGAGTAACATGCATGGGATACCAGTGTTTTTCTTCAGGGCTGTCTGCACACGGGTATACCGACCTGGGGAAACGCGCAATGGTGCCCTCTGGGGTGCGGAACGTGCCTGCCTTCTGGACTTGGTCTACTAACATTC